ACAGGAGAAACAGTGGATTTTAAAATCTTCCACAATTGTGAGAATCTACAAATGCAATAATCGGTCTTATTACATACCTTCCTGCAAAATTACCTATAGGCCTGTCTGCTTTTCATCAAATCTTCTGCTCCAGATTATCAGGCCAAACGCACTGTTATCATTCTATTGTTTAGAAAAAAGCAGTTTGATCATTAATTGTTAGCTAAAAAGTGCTTGTAGATTTGTTTCGGCAAAAGAACTGGACCGTGGCGTCACTGCATACAAAGTCACGTTATTGATACCTGAATATGATTTCTTTTTATATGCGAACACAGATGTGCAGACTTGACACAACAATTTAAAACATCCCACAGAAAAGCAAACTTAACAGTAAATACAGTGAACTTTACACTTCAGTTCAATTATGAATTTCATGAACATAAAGACAAAAAGGTCTTTATATAAAGAGCTGCATATATACTTTGTAAATGAAGTCATTCCACTGTAGCTTTTTTCAATATGTTTTCTTAAGATGTAAAGGTAAAAGCAGTTCTGATACCTTCATCATTTCATATCAACAGAAAAACCCAAACCGACTGTTAGTGTGAATCCTCAGAGCTCCGTCTACACTGGAGACAGCGTTACTCTGAGCTGTAATCTGCAGTCTACTGGATGGAGGATTTTCTGGTACAAAAATGATCAGAAATCAAATCCATTGTCCCCTGAGGCCCCCGACACCAACACATTCAGTGTGACAGTCTCTAATGAAGGACAAATAAATTACTCCTGTAAAGCACGCAGGGGAAACTACGACTCAGAGATCAGTGATCCAGCCACGATTACAGTGAGAGGTACGTCATGTTTTCCTCTTTTTCACTACACATTTAAAGTTAGTAAATCTGTAAAGAATTTTTATGTTGATATACATAATTTTTTAATGAATTATTATAATTGTGAAATTATATAATATGTATTATATGATATATATTTATTATCTTTGTATAGCGAGACCAAAGCCTATAGTGAAAGTACAGGCAGCTGAGCCTGTGTTCATTGGGGAAACCGTCACTTTCTCATGTGAGATACAGACTGGAGGATCCTGGCAGTACCACTGGTATAGATATAATACAGAACTCAGTGATGTTGCAGGAAAGAAAACATACACAATCTCTAATGTTAAAGCCTCTGATAAAGGTGATTATACATGTAATGGAACACAATCATCAGACCCACAATACACACAGACCAGTGATGCTGTTACACTGACTGTATCAGGTGAGTGTGTTTTATGTTTATTATGTTAATATTGTCTATTGCATTAAAACTGAAAAGTGTAGAGATGTACTCTGTATAGAACTGCTTTAAACATATGGAATAATATCAACTAAAAGAGTAATGTGTATCACAAGAATGTGTTAAGACTGAAGGGATCTGAGTATGAGTTCATCAAGAATAAAGATAATCACTTGTGTAAATAATATTATTTACTTCTTAAGTAATTTACTAATTATAAACCACAGAAGAATCACATCATGTAGGCTCCTGCTATTTTGCTCATGTTTGGTCTGTTTCCTTTTTTAGTAAATAAATGTGAACATGATTATTTTAGCTTACTGTGCTACACTAATAGAGTAATACAATAATAGAAAAATATGTAGGCTTAATTATTGTTTAGCTGAGACCAGGATCATCACAGAGACAGCAAAATTGTTTTCACTCTGTAGAGGTGATTAATACAGTAAAGATTACTTTACACCTGAACTGTGTGTTTCTTCTCTAACAGAAAAACCTAAAGCTGAACTCACATCAGACCTTAAAGGAGCTGTACTGACAGGAAACTCAGTGACTCTGTCCTGTACACTGAAGCTGCAGTCTGCTGGATGGAAGTTTTACTGGATCAAACCCACACAGAGCACTGAGACTGAGACTGAGACTGAGACTGAAACACACCACTACTTCATCAGATCAGTTACAGTCTCTGATGGAGGTCAGTACAAGTGCAGAGCTGGCAGAGGAAACCCAGTCTACTACACAGACTACAGTGATGCACTCTGGGTAAAAGTTATTGGTGAGTAAGACACTTTCTGTTAAGTGATTTTGCACAACACTGAGCATATAAACAACATGTGAGCAGTGTCACAATATAGCAACATTTACACAGCTACTATATGCGCTAAATCATTTATTAAAGTTAGAGAGAGACAGTGTGAGCAGGGCTGCTGTGAGGTGAGCTGGAAAGCAAGTGGCACAACACTAGTTTAGCTTTGGAGGAAAATATCACCAAAACCTGTAAAACTCTTTTAACAAGCTGCTCAGAGACTGTAAAGGGGCTTCATAAAGTTACTGCTTCAGAAACATCAGCATGCTCGAGTCGAGACCTGCCTGAGTGTGAATGAGTGAAGAGGATGAGGAGCAAACTTTTATACTGAACCACTGAGTGTAAGAGGCTGTAGAATCTGAAAGAATGAGAGAGATTAGAGAGTGAGTGTGTATGAGGAATTATGAACTGATAACAGGTGTGTGGTCATGACTAAGAATATGCATCACAGAGTTTATGTATATATATATATGTGTGTGTGTGTGTGAGAGAAAAAAAAAAACCTTTCTGGCCCCTCCCAGAAAGCTCTGGTAAAGTACCAGTGGGTGAAGTCTAACAGAGTGTTACATTTACATATACAGCTTCCTACAAGGAAATCTCTGGGTCCCCAGCGTGTGATGGTGAAATGTGCTGGATGTTAAAGAATATAAATACAGAGCCTATATAGGGCTAAAATGACACTTTCTACCCACAGAAAATAATAAAATACCCAATTTATTTAAATCTTGGCAAACGACCAAATAAACAATCAATCGGTAGATAAACAATGAAAAGGAAAGAAACAAATAAAGGAATCAGTTAGCTTAGCTACATAACCCTCTTACTTTATTAACACAGCTCAAATAAATTATAAATCCCCCCTTCAGTTATGTTTATTCTTCTATTCCCAATTATGCTGAATGCTTTAACCACTATAAAAATACTCCTGAAAAATAAACACACAACCACTTATTTATAACACCAAAACAACCTTCCAGTTTCAGTAGTAATTCTCAACCCCTATGGACAATGCAAGAATGGAGAGGAAAAGTTCAAACCCCAGTCAGGTATGAGTATGTCTGGAAATGTTCACAGTTTAACCTCAGCGGTCAACTTGGAAATACTGAGAAGACAAATTCAACCAAACTCTCATGTGAAAAAGTTCTTAAACTGTACCAGCGCTGGTAACCTCGTTGGTGCCCATATCGTTGGTGCACATATGACAGATGAATCCTTGGAAATACGGCAACAAAAGTATAACCAAGTATTCACTCGGTCCCGTACTCCAGCATGTAGTCACTGGGGGAACTCTGAAAAGAAACTCTTCTCTCCCGAGAACACGATGGGAACCTTCCCCCGCGCCGTTCAGTTGTCCAGTTGTTCAGTGGTGAATCAACAGCTGTCCGTTGACCCGACAGCCGACGAGCGTGAAAATGGCGTCTGGAGCGGCAACTGTCCACTGCTCAGCTCTTTACTCACTGTTCGCCTTTTTTCCCTTCACGTTACTTTGCTGTTTTTAGAATACGGTACGCACTGTAGACGGGTTAACGGCTCTAAACTTTGTGGCCCAGTACTTACGTAGTTAGTCTCCACCAAAGTTTATCAAAGCGTGCTAAACTGTGTCCAACATGGCGTTCACTGACCGTCCCCTCTCTCTCTTTTTTCCCGTCTTCCCGCGCTCTCCTTTCTCCTCCCTCCAAAACTTCGATTTGTCATAAGACCTGTCAATCAGTTCCTTACTGAATACTCCCCCATGGGAAAACCCAATCAGTTCCATAATCTCTCCTTTTTTCCCCCGTGCATGTTCAATAGCGTAGCAAAACAAAATAAACCCATTAATTACTGATTACAATATTTTAAACAATAACCATTTTACAAAAAAGAACACAATAATATTCATCCTCATTTATATAAAAGTATTCAATTCAATTCAATTCAGTTTATTTGTATAGCGCTTTTTACAATGTCATTGTCTCAAAGCAGCTTTACACAAACAAAAAAGTAAGATGAAGTGTGAGAGTGTGTCTGATGAGCAAGCCGAGGCGACGGTGGCAAGGAAAAACTCCCTGAGATGGAGATAGGAAGAAACCTTGAGAGGAACCAGACTCAACA